TTTTAAGAAAATGAAAGAGAAACCTGTACAATATCTGCAGAGCAGAACTTACCTTCCACAGCAATTATTTTTTAGTTAGCAAATCTAACGACAGTTATATAACAGCAGCTGCATACTGGCTCAATAAGCTCTATGTTTTATATTCAATTAATGTATGATCTGATTAGTAGACTAATCGAAGAAAAAAATAATCGGTGATTAATCGATTATAAAAATAGTTGTTTGTGGCAGCCCTAGAGTCAAACAATATTTTAGTCAAACAGAACCAACAAGAATAAAACAAAAAGTAAAGAATTAGAGAAAAAATAAATGTTAAATATAAATTCTAATTATAATAAATTAATAATAGTTTTACATCAAAAAATCATATTTTATTATTTTAATCTCTTTCCCTCATTCAGCAACCTATTAAATTTCTGTTATGTTTCATGTAGGAGAAATACACTTTTTTTTCAGTCAGTATTTAATACAGCTGGCAAAATAAACTGTTAAAATATGTATTATGTGCTTCTGTTTTTTAATTCAGGAGATTATGAAAAAAATCCTTCATTTTATGGGAAGATCCTCTTGATTCAAGAGAAAACTCTGTTTTTTTTTAAAAATGGCTGCTTATTAATTAATTGTTAATCTATAAGATAAATCACCTTCAGATTAATTCATTATCAATATCTTGCATCCTTAAGGAGTTAACTTAATTTATATCTACTCATATTCATGTAATTAAGCGTTTTAATGAGTTGGAAGATAAATCGATTATTAAAATAATCGTTAGTTGCAGCCCTAATTTGTAGGTGTTTCCCCAGACTTTCGCACAATAATTCTGTAATGGAACTAATACTTTTATGTTTAAGCCAGTAATTCATGACATCCTTTAATGACCAAGGTTTTCATGACATGCTGTTCATCTGCAGACAGAATGATTAAAGTCAGAACAAGATTTGCTAACAACAGTCATTCTTAGAGATCACTTGTGTTTATCTTTGTGTTTTCCATTGAACTTGTATCAAATTTTGCTAAGATGACATAATGGTGTTTGTTAATATACTGTATATATGAGGCCTCTCAACTGCATCAACAGAGTTCAACAGTAGTGTGGACAGACAGTGACAGAGAGAAGCAGAGGCACAGAGACAGGCCAGGTTGTTCTCTGTGTTTCCTGTTGTTGCAATAAAACTCAGCTGATCATCTCACAGAGTGCCTTCATTCTTGGACCACGTATTTCTATCTTTGTTAAATAAATATTGCCATTAACAATTCAAATATGGCAAAATAAGTGAACAACATACAATATGCAATGCTTTACTATTTAAAAAATATCTAGTTTTACGGAGGACTTAGATACTTCTTGGTATTTTGGCTTGAACATACTGAATATGAGTTTTCCAGCAGGTCTTGTGGTCAATCACCACACCCAGAAACTTAATTTCATTAACTCTGTCTACATCCTCAATTCCTATTTTTAAATCACTATTTCCTTTACGATTTTCAAATCACATAAATTTAGTGTTGTCC